GTTTTGGTTTGGAGGAGCTCCTGTCCATCGATGACTTTCTTCGCCTTCTGAAGCACCTCGGCGAAGGTGGCCGGGGCCTCCTCTCCAAGTTTCACCGTGAGGGCTTCGTCGGCTAGACCGGTGAGAAAATAGCACATGGCCGAGTCATCGGAGCAGTGTGCGACCTTCAATTGCTCCTCCTGGAATCTGGTGACATATTCTCGCAGCGTCTCACCCTCCTTCTGTCTGATGGTGGCGAGATGGGTCGCTGTCTTTTTGTCATAATGCCGATAAGAGAACTGGGTGAGGAACTCCCTTCTCAGCTGAGAGTAGGTCGAGATCGACCTGGCTGGCAGTCTCCGATACCACAATCGCGCGCTGCCAGTAAGCGCGATCTGAAAGACGCGACATTTGATTGCGTCTGATGCCGCTTGGAAATCCATGAGGCCTTCAAAGACCTCAACATAATCCTTGGAGTCCTTCGACCCATCATAAGGCTTCACGGTAGGAGCTTTGAACTTCGGAGGGATCGGTGCTTCCAAAACGTCCGAGGTGAAGGGCGATTCTCCCAAGTCGCCATCGTTCAGTGAACCTTCTTTCTACTCACATTTGGCCTTTAAGGCCTCCACCTGAGCATCGAGCTTGCCCCTCAGCTGGTCGAACTCCTCCCTTGTGATCACCCCTGCGGGAGTTGCTGGATTGTGAGAGGATTCAGCCTGCTGGTTGGAGCTCCTGTGTGAGCGGGATGGTGACTGCCCTTTTCGGAGAGATGAGCCTCTCTTTTTGTTGAGATGCTCACGGAGGTCTCCCCTCTGGCGAGTGTGTCCCTCACTCTTGTTGTCTTCGGGACGTTCCTCCTCGGCCCTCATACTTTGCATCTGTCAACGCTAGTGGTGGTGATCTCGGCCGTCCGAGCTGGGCATGACTCATGAGCTATCTTGGAGCACCAATAGGGGTTCTCCACGTGTCCAGGGTATTCTCTTCCCCAAACATGTTCTTTACAGCTTTCTTCCTTATTTGTATATTGTGGTTCTGTGTGAATATTTTCTGTAGAAAGAGAAATTATATAAGACCATTAATTTCTCAATACTATATCGGCAAAACTGCCAAACAGAGTTGGAGGATCTTAAGAAATCCAAATAACCTTGGAAATGTTTTTTGGTTGAAAAATTGAAAAGGATCCTTGGCTACCAAAAGAAAAAATCACAACCCTGTTTTCAATCAAGAATCCATGCGCCAACAAGATGTTGCTTCTATTACGAGAATAGGAGGAAGTTGGAATGAGGAGATAAAGGATTGTTTCATTGAGTCGGAGGTTGATCTTATCGTACAAATCCTCGTAGCAAAGACCGACATGAACGATGAGATTATTTGAGGGCCTAATAAAAAAGGGATTTTCTCTGTCAAAAGCACGTACCACTTGGACATGAACATGTTAAATTTGGATGAGGCCTCATCGTCAAATTCGGAGTCAGGGACGTAGATGGAAGAACATGTTATGCAGGCAAGAAATTGAGACATCCAAACATTTGTTATGGGAGTGCAAGGTAAATAAGCTTTATGACTATTGGGGATGGATAGCAAATCCATGAAAGGAAGGAAAAATTTATAATTTTACCAAGTCAGATTTGAGATTACAGAAATCGTGTCGCTTTCCAAGGAGAAATTCAAGATCAACAACATATTTCTTCTAGGATCGACACACAAAAAGTAGATCTAAAATTTAAAATGTTAGAAATAAAAATTAATATTTCTCTTGAATTTGCTCAAAATATCCATTTTTACCTTAAAACTTTGAATTCCATCGCCCAATCTAACGTTAGAACTTTTTATCTTCTACATTGTCCGGCAGTCAACGCAGAAATTTCAACAAAAAATTAATTTTATTACATATATTTTAACCGAATATAAATACTTTCCGAGATCAAAATTGATATAATTAATTAAGTTTATGGAAAAAATAATTTGAGGAGGGAAAAATCCTTTTGTTGGCACTCTTTTTGGTAATTAAACCAAGGGGGAAGAGATGAAAAATTAGGAACACAGATTTGAGTCGAAAGTAAAGTACAACCATTACATTCCTTTATTATACACCACACTAGATCTTAGTTTTACATAAAAGAAAAGGCCAAAACCAAAAGTCCAGAAAAGGAGATGTGATGAGGAAGAGTAATTTATTGAAGAAACACACAGGATGATCCCGATGAGATCTTTGGGGCGCCGAGGCGTGGCGCTCAGTCGCTATCGCTGTCGCTGCTGCTGTGGCCGCCGTGGTGGTGCTCGCCCTCCTTCTTCTTCTTCTCCTTCTTCTTCTTCTTCTCGCCTTTGTGGTCGTGGTCGTGTCCGTCGCCGTGGATCTTGTCCTTGATCTTATCCACAATCCCCTCCTTGTGGTGCTCCCCCGCCTTGGCGCCGTGCTCGCCGCTCTTGTGGTGATCGTCGCCCTTGTGGTGATCCCCGCTCTTGTGGTGCTCGTCGCCCTTATGGCCCCCTCCGATGTGGAGCTTCTCTTCAATTTTCTCGATGAATCCTGACATTATTGCGATTTTCTTTTTCTTTTCGTTGGATGGAAATGATCAACTCTGAATGAACATCGCCCCCTCTCACGCTCCCATTTATAGATCCAAAAAAGATATTAAAAAAGGAAAATAATAAAGTCGTAAATTGAAAACGGATAAATAAATGTATATTATCCATGATTTTGATTTGACCATGGCTTTAATAATTTTGTCTTTTTTCTTTTTCTTTTGTTTCTGATACGTTTACGCGGCAATGCCGCGTGAGCCTCTCACGATGTGTACCTCCACGCTCCACCCACTTTTATTTTATTTTATTTTTTTATTACTTTTTTAGTACGAGAGTGTGGATCTTGCCTCAAAAGAAGTAGATATTTTAGGGTAGTTTCGTCCCGTCTCGTAATGTTTCGCTTCGTTACTCGTTTTATTAAGAAATTTAAAAAGTATCTTGCAATTAATTGTATTTTTTGTTTTTGTTTTTTTTAATATTTATTGAGTTTATGTTTTCCGTTTCTAATTTAATACAAAACATAAATAAAAGATTGTTTTATCATACTTGAATTCATGGTTCTGAGGTCATGCAATTCATTTTTCTTTATTAAAAATGAGAAAATAGAAACAAGAAACAGTAACGTTACCAAACGGACCTTTAGTAATGTTTTGATTTTGTGTTTCCTGTTTAATAAATGTAATATAATTGCGTTTGGTAACTATTTTTTAATAATAAATAGAAATATATTTTATAAAAGAAATAGAAATATGTTCGGTAATTATTCCTTGATTCTACTTCTTTACTATTTTATACTAAAATATAGAGTTTTTTATATGAAATTTAAATTAAATTTTCAAATTTTATGTTATATTTTTTAAATATTTATTGGGTATTGTATAAGTCATGATAAAATAATACTCCTATTCATGGTTAAAAAACATTGGAAACAACAAGAAATAAGAAAGTTTATTTTGTTGTTCACTTTTACACCATTTTTAAAACTTTTCCAGAAACTATAAATCCGGAATAATTATCAAATCTTATGTTTATAAAAACTAGAAACGAGAAACAAAAAATAATTAACGAAAATTTTACCAAACAAATGATTAATCGTTAATTGTACTCATGTATGATTCAGTTCAATTCTAGTTAAATTAAAAATCTAATCCTATAATTTCTAAAGTATTTAATAAATTAGGGTACCAAGGAAGAGGAGATTTTCGTGTTTAGTTTTAGACCTTTTTTGGGATTATTTTCAATATATATATATATAATTATTTATTTATTTTAATACAAGTATTTGTAAAATAAGAGCATATGTATTGATATATTTTGATATTTATTATAGTTTTAATTATTTTTTAGCTCTTATTTTATAATAGAAATCTTTTTTTTAGTACAACATGTGGAGATGGAGATTAAACTCGCAACCTCTTGATTTGAGATATATGTCAATTACTGGTGAGCTATGCTTGCTTTTGTATGAAATCTTTTTATTTAGTGCTAAATCAACCATGAGCTTAATTTGTTTATTAAAATTTTAATGAAAAAAATTATTTTTTTTAGTACAACATGTTGGGGAGGGGATTCGAACTCACAACCTTTTGGTTGGAGGTATATGCCAATTAATTACGGAGAAAATTAAAAAAGTGACCATTGTCGTATCTTCATTAAAAATAATAATAAATTAAATAAATTAAAATTCTGTATGTTTTCTCTTTAATTGTTTTTCATCTCTTTACATTTTTGTTTATTTGCTCTAATTTTTAAGAAGATAAAAAAATAAAAAAATAATTAGGTTTGTTTTAGTACCATGTGCGAGTCCCAATACATGATACATGGCTTAACAACTTAAATTAGACTCAAGTTGACAACTTAAAAAAAAAGACTCGAGTTAACTAAAAATAATTATTGAACATACTTGAAAAATAAATTTATCATAAAGGTATAGTTTTCATTTCTCTAAAAAACAAAAAACAAAAATAATTTAAGCGCAAATCAAATTATTACAAAAAGAAATATAAGAACCAAAACGCTAAAACGAAATTAAGAAAAAAAAAAGATAAATTTAATTTCATAGCATAAAATTAATATATATATATATCAAATGTCACATTTTCATTTTCATTTTTTTTAAATACAACATAAAATTTGACTTTTTATTTTGTGTATTTTATTCGAGTTTAACTTTGATTTGACTTGTAAATCTGAATATAATTGGAAAGCACGTATCTCCAATTAAAAGATCATAAATTCGATTGATAGGGTAACGAAACATCATTAAACATTCACGCGACGATATTCTCTCATATTGGTTCTTTAAAATAATAATTTTAGATGCTTAATTTTAACTTTAACATTTTTTTCCCTTCAAAATACAAAAAGTAGGCATGCTTCTTTTTCAAGTTTTTAGATCGTGAGTTCACTCATTTCCATTTTTCTTTTCTTGAAAAATACAAAAGAGCAGGTATTATTCTTTTGCAAGTTTTTTTTTTTCGGTTGTACTTTGAAATAGACTTTCTTTTTTTCAAAATTAACTTGTAAAATAGAGTAGAAATTAGAAAAAGTATAAGAAATGTATCTTTAAGTTTTTGTTTTCTTTTTTGTTATTTTGGGATAGAATGTCTTCTTAAGTTGAGTTCACAATTTTTAGGGTATAGAATTATTAAAATAAAAATTATATTTTCAATAATCTCTAACTTCATATTAAAATTTTTAGTAGCTTGAGTCTCATTAATTGAAAATGAGAATCTCAATCACAATATTGATGATCACAATGGATGGAAAGACCGTGACAATTGAAAAAGATTTATCAAAATTTTGTTATTTCTCACCATGACGAATTTAGAACTTTATTCGGAGGACAAAATTTTCACTAAAATATAAATATAATTTTAAATGTATTGATGTAAAATATACTCTTTTTTAGAAGTTAATGTTGATAACCAAATTATTACAAACCTATAATGTTTTATATTAATTTGTTTAAAAAAATATGTCTGAATGTTAATAATATAGACTGATATTAGTTTGTACAATATATATAAAGTAAAGTATATATATCAAAGAGTCTCATAATTTTCTCAAAAAAAAAAAAGAAGAGTCTCATAATTTGAAGCTCTATCAGCTTTTTTTTTTAAATAAAATTATATTTGTACGTTATTAAAGAAATTTTTAATAATTTCCTAAAAATACTTTAAAACATTTTTATCAATTTCAGTGTATATTAAATAGAAATAATTTTATCCCAAATTTATAATTGAAAATTTAGAACCATTGGTCTAAAGGTATTATGATTAATTGAGATTGAATGAGTTCAATGATCACTTACCTTAATAATTAAATACTAGATATATTTCATATTTTAAAATATTTTATGAATAGTCAACTCGAGAATGCATCAACTTTTTATTAAATAACCTTACTTTCCTTAAAAAAACCTTGCTTTCTATTTGAACAAAAAAATATATATATATATTATGCATTTGTAAAGGTTGGGAGCCCTCTGATAGGTCCCTTTCTTTTTCTTTTTTTGTTTTTATATATAAAAAAAAGATCCCCTTCTTTTGTCGGTAGTGGCAATATATGCATTTTATATATATATACATACATTTTAATTCCTGATCGAATCATATGGTTGAAAATTTAAATCTTACATTGGATAAAGGTCTAAATTATTTAAATTAAATTTCATTAATCAGATTCTATGTATTTTTTCAAAAAGTAAAAAACGATCGGGAATATTGGAATTTATTTGATGCCCAATAATGGAGAATAAAGGCATTCACCCAAAAAAGAAAAATTCTGCCAATTCCTTTTTACAAGATGTCATAAAAATTANAGAAAGAAAGGATGAGTTTTCTTTTTGTAAGCTGAAGCACATCATTCAAAATATAATATTTTTCTAACAGTAACATGTTATCAAATTACAACACTTTCTTAATAATTTTTTAAAACATCACTTTGACATAGCTATATTAGTTACATAAAATATAAATTATGGGCAGGAAATGTTTGCCAATAAAATTAAATAATTATTCAACCCAACGCAACTTGTAATAATTTGCATGATTCAAAATAAATTGTAAAACTATTTCGAAATTTTAATATGATTATTATTTTAGTATATATTGATATTTTTCTATTTAGTCTTAAAAACTTTATATGGGAACTTTTTAAAAGCTGAATGATGAAATTGAAAAAAACAATACAATTATTTGACAGAAATTTATACAATTTACCAATATTTCTTAAAGAGTATTTTTTATTTTCATTATTATTATTTTTTATTTTTAAGGATTCTTAAAGAGTACTCTGATTCCCAAATGCCACTCCAAAATAAATGAAGGCTAAAATTCAATGAATCTAGACAGCTGGATGTCTCTATTTTATTTATTTATTTTATATTATTTCTTTTTTGTCTCGATTCGATATGGAAATAATTGCTCTTTTTCTTTTTGGATTTTTTAGTACATTTTTTCTTTTTGGTTTTGATAATAAAATTTTAGTTTTTTTTATATTTTTTATATTAATTATATTTCGGCTCTTCATAATTTAAAAATATATATTTTGGTAATGAAATCCTCATAGATATTTGTTTAATAATTATATTAATTTTGTGTATTGTGTTTAACACAAAACATTATAATAATTATAAAAACAAAATCGAAAAATCTACAAAAAAAAAAAACCCCCACAATTGATATATAACTAAAAAAAAAGAGTATATAACATATAGGAGTGGGCAATCGAACTTACAATCTCTTAATTGGAGATATATATCAATTACTGCTAAATTATGTTCACTTTGACAGTGCTATCTAGAAGTTGACAATGAATATAATGGTACAACATGACTGGATGCTTTTCTCTTTTTTTTTTTTAACTTGACTTCTCATCAACCATATAATCTAATAAATTAAACTTTTTAGTTCAATAATAATATAGTGGAAATCCAACTATCGATATTTAAAATATTTTATCGAACATAGGAAAAAAAATGAAAGGGTTTAATTTAACATAAGGAGGATAATTATTGTCAATGAGTCATTTTGATACTTGCCAATTTAATACATTTTAGTCTTTTTACAAA